GAGCTGATTGTATTAGCAACACAAAAGAAGTGAAAAATTTATCAACTAGATGCACAAACGGCATTTCTTAATGGCTATCTTGAAGAGGAAATTCATGTATAGCAATCTCAAGGATACGAAGTACAAGGTAAAGAAGATGAAGTTCTCAAACTAAAGAGTGTACTATACATATTAAAACATGCTTTGCGAGCTTTATATATTAGAATAGACAATTAATTCATCGAGCAAAGATTCAGGAGAAGTCAAAGCGAACAAACTCTATATATTAAAATTCATGGTCCAAACAGTACACTCATAATCTTTCTATAAGTTGGTGATCTCATCTATATAAAGAATGATGAATAGACGATCAAGAAATTCAAAAAAGACATGATGAAAATGTTTGAGATGACTGATCTATGATTAATGCACTATTTTCTTAGAATCAAGATAACTCAATCTGAAGATGGGTCCACTAATATATTAATGAAGTTCAAGATGGGAGCTTACAAGACAGTAAGAACAAGTAAAAATGCCCCTGGACAGAAACAAATCACTCGAACAAAAAGACGGTACTCCAAAATCAAACAAATCACAATTTTGAAACCTATTTGGAAGTTTCCTCTACCTCACTGCTACAAGGCCAGACATAATGTATATAACCAGCCTACGTTCAACATTACTACAGAATCCAAGTCAAGTATACTATGGAGCAGCAAAGTGGATACTAAGGTACCTTCAAGGAACAAAAGACTGTGGAATATGGTACCGTCTACACTTGACTCAAAACTACTTGGGTATACTGATACTGGTTGGGCAAGATCAGTGGATGCTATGAAAAGCATATCAGGCTTTGCATTCACACTAGATTCCAAAATATTCTCTTGAACATCAAAGAAATAGGCAATGATTGAAGAATATCAGCTGCTTAGTATATTGCAGCAAAAATGGCAATGATTTAAGCTATATGGCTAAAGTGGATACTTGAAGACATGGGAAAGCTACAATATGAAACAACAGAGATCCACATTCGGGTTAAGTATCACTTTATTAGAGAAGCTGAAGCGAAAAAAGAGATAGAGCTCAAACATTACAAAGCTGAAGAACAATTAACATATATTTTCACGAAGGCTCTACCACGAGCAAAGTTCGAAGTACGATGGAAAATGATTGGAATTACCGAGATAAGAATCAAGGAGGAGTTATAAAATTGGTGATGCCTATTTCTAGAACAAACTAGAGTATCTTGGATAGAAAGGAAAAATAGTAAATAAATAAAATATTAGAATTCTCTT